GGACAGGTAGATATGGAGGATGGATCGATAGATGGGTGGGTGGATAGACAGGCAGATATGGAGGATGGATGGATAGAGAGGATGGATGGACAGACGGACAGACAGACAGATATGGAGGATGGATGGATGGGCAGATGGACAGACAGACAGGCAGGCAGATATCGAGGATGGATAGATGGATGGATGGATGGATGGATGGGTAGGTAGGTAGGATAGATAGATAGATAGGGATGATGGATGGATGGATGGATAGGTAGGCAGGCAGGCAGGCAGGCAGGCAGGCAGGCAGGCAGGCAGATAGATAGATAGATAGATAGATAGATAGATAGATAGATAGATAGATAGATAGGGGGGGGGGGGAGGGGGGAGGGAAGATGGATGGATGGATAACGGACAGACAGAAAGATATGGAAGATGGATGGATGGATGGATGGATGGATGGATGGATAGATAGATAGATAGATAGAGGGGATGGATGGACAGATAGATGGACGGACAGACACAGGTAGATATGGAGGATGGACAGACAGACAGACAGAGGAACCAAGTAGATAGATAGATAGATAGATAGATAGATAGATAGATAGATAGATAGATAGATAGATAGATAGATATGGAGGGAAGATGAATGGATGGATAGATGGATAGATTACTTCGGTCCGAGGACCAAAATTTGCTTGAAGTCCCCAACATCCGGACTTATCATCTGTCCTCTACTAGGCAGAGAGCCTTCTCAATTGTGGCCCCTTATTTATGGAATGCCTTGCCAGTTGAAACCCGAACCATCCGAGAGCTACTTGCTTTTCGGAAAGCCTGCAAGACCTTTCTTTTCCGACAAGCTTTCGATGGGTGAATAACTCGGGACTATGTCGGTTCTCGTTTTTATTGTATTTTAAAGTTGGTTGTATTGTTTTAATCTACTGCTGTAAACCACTCCGAGCCAAATTGGGAGTGGCAGTATACAAGTCTAATAAATAAAATAAAAATAAATAAATAAAATGTCAAAAGCAAGTATAAAACTGATAAAATAGAGTGAACACAAGTGGCTAAATAATTTTAGATCAAAAACGGGCAACAGCAACCGCATTGTCTGTTCTTCCTCTGAGATAAATAAATATGGAGGGAGGATGGATAGATGGATGGATAGATAGATAGATGGACACAGACGGACAGACAGATAGGTACGGGGAACGGATAGATGGATGGACAGATGAATAGATGAATAGACAGCTACTGTATTTCTTCAATTGTACGATACAATCCCCACTCCCTACAAAAATGCAAAGATACCTCTGCAGTGTTAAGACGCAACCCATTTTTAGAAATGTTTATATAGGGAGATGGTGTGTCTTGGAATGGAAGGAATGCAGCTCTGCCTTGTTTGAGATGCAGGGTAGCTTTTCCTAGCATTGCTGGGCAGCCGGAGCTGTTGCATTGTGTGTGTGTTGGGAGGGGGGGGCTGGGAAAGTACTCCCCGCTCCCTCCTCTCTGTTGACCCCTTCCTCTCCCCCACTTTCAGGGCCGGGGGTCCGCCTGTCGGTGCTGCTGGACCAAAAAGAGGGGCCTCCGCCAGACGGGCCCTTGAGTGTCATTGAGAACCCGATGGCCTTGGAAGACAAGCAGGACCCTCCCAAGGACCAGTGACCCCCTGCTCAAAGGACAGTAATGGTGGACGGACCCTGAAGGAGGTGCCCCTTCCCAACAGTGACACTGGGAGGCAGGGGTCTCAACACAGACGACCAGCCAAAGCAGATGCCCAGGAGTTCCAAGATGGGAAAGAAGAGGGAATCTGCATCCCAGGCCTGCATGAAAACAGCGCACTTTTGTCTCAGGAGCCCTGTTTTCTTTGCAACTGTACTTTTGTCCGGACACAGACTCTGCTCATTGAATAGAATAGCTTCATTGGCATTGTGATATTGTTCAGAGAAATGACATGCCTTCCCCCGCACATGCCACAAAACACACACCTATCCCTGCGCACTCCCACCACCACTGCGCAGCCCCTAATGCCACATCAATGCGAAGCCATGGAGTTCAACTACAACTCTAGCCACTTCATCACACTGAAGCAATGAAATGGTTGGCTGAGTAGAGCTGAGTAGAGCTCCGTTTTTCAATGAAACGGATGACTTCCCTACCATCATTACACTAAAATGTATCCATGCAACTCAGTAGTACTCCGCATTCTTTGAGTTTATTTGTCTTCACATTATAGAAATTTGCCCCCCTACCATTTCCCCCACCTCTCTTTGAAATCCCAGCTTCCCTACTATCATAGAATCATAGAATCAAAGTTGGAAGAGACCTCATGGGCCATCCAGTCCAACCCCCTGCCAAGAAGCAGGAATATTGCATTCAAAACCCCTGACAGATGGCCATCCAGCCTCTGTTTAAAAGCTTCCAAAGAAGGAGCCTCCACCACACTCCGGGGCAGAGAGTTCCACTGCTGAACGGCTCTCACAGTCAGGAAGTTCTTCCTCATGTTCAGATGGAATTTCCTTGTAGTTTGAAGCCATTGTTTCACATCCTAGTCTCCAGGGAAGCAGAAAACAAGCTTGCTCCCTCCTCCCTGTGGCTTCCTCTCACATATTTATACATGGCTATCATATCTCCTTTCAGCCTTCTCTTCTTCAGGCTAAACATGCCCAGCTCCTTAAGCCACTCCTCATAGGGCTTGTTCTCCACATGTCAGATGTTATATGTCTTCAATTCCAGAAGCAGGGAGGGAGGGAAAGCGGCAATGCTCTCTCTCTCTCTCTCCTGCCTCACATAGAAGGGTGGGGACCTTGGAAAACTATAACTCACAGGACTGCATATATTGGAGCTATGGTATTTGAACTAAGTTTCACCTGCATTCATTCCACAGTGTACATCCACCAAGAGAAGGAGTATGGACCTTGGGAAACTATGGCAACATGGTGAAATAATAATAATAATAATAATAATAATAATAATAATAATAATGGCATTTAAAATGGGCCCCAACTGCATTTATTCTCCAGTGTAGATGCACCCAGAAGGGAATGGACCTTGGGAAACTGTAACTCCCAAGAGGACTGGCATAATGATAATAATAATAATAATAATAATAATAATAATAATAATAGAAGCAACTGGAAAAGCTATCATGATACAAGGATTTAAAGATCGAACTGCAAAGACTCTGGTACGAGTTAGTCAAGGGGGTCCCAGTGGTGATTGGCACACTGGGTGCAGTGCCTAAAGACCTTGGCCTGCACTTAAACACAATCGGCACTGACAAAATTACCATCTACCAGCTACAGAAGGCCACCTTACTGGGATCTGCACGCATTATTCACCGATACATCACACAGTCCTAGACACTTGGGAAGTGTCCGACGTGTGATCCAATACAACAGCCAGCAGAGTGTCTGCTGTGGAGTCATCTTGTTGTGTTTCTAATAATAATAATAATAATAATAATAATAATATTCATGCATTTATTCTCCATTGGACGAGTAAGATGGTCTTCCATGATGGGTTTCCTTGTGGATTTGTAGGTGGCTGTGGAGCCCTATTCTTGACCCGCATCTTCTCCCACAGTGAAGGCATTGGTTTCCAGGTGGAAGGCGGTCCCAGTCGGGGTTGGCTTGACGCGCCTTCCTCCTGGCACGTTTCTCTCTTTCACCCTCCACTCGTGCCTCCTCGAATTCTGCAGCACTGCTGGTCACAGCTGACCTCCAGCTGGAGCGCTCAAGGGCCAGGGCTTCCCAGTTCTCAGTGTCTATGCCAGAGATTTTAAGGTTGGCTTTGAGCCTATCTTTCAATCTCTTTTCCTTTTATACTGTAAATGCACCAAGAGAAGAGTATGGACATTGAAAAACTATGACTCCTAGGACTGCACAGCATGGAGACATGGCATAACAACAACAACAACAACAACAACAATCCTTCTCTCCTGACTTTCCCATGCAACACAAAGCACAGACATATCAAGAAAGGAAGGGAAGGACCCAGAAAGGCTATTATTTAAAAAAAGAAATTGTTCTGGCAAAGTCAAAACTCGGTGAGCAAAAGGTAATGCTTTCCCTAACAAGGGTACTTTTGGTTTCCCACAATCTGTGGAAACGTTTCAATTTAAACCTGGGAGCAACAAATGCCATCACATTACAGAAACGGCCAATCATTTGGATCATTTCAAAAAATCCACTTCCCTACCAACTCTTGAAACATTTGAAAAGAAGGCTGGTACCCACACTTAAAATACACAAAGAATACTCTTTCCTACACTTGAAGCCAAACGAATGTGATAAGGAAAGTGGCTTCCCGGATTTTAAGTGTAGCTCTTAGTGGAATTTAGTAAATGTGATGAAGTGGTAGGATAAAAGCTATCCTTCAGTCTGTCTGTCCTTGCCTTTGTCACTCTGTACTGTTTGCCAGATGGCAATAATAAGACATTTTAAAGGTCTTTCTCCTCAGAGCTGGAGAAGGGAGAAAGTAGGCAGGCAGTGGTCCCAATGACACTCAAGCAACATCGGGTATATACACAAATACATAATAGAATAGAATAGAATAGAATAGAATAGAATAGAATAGAATAGAATAGAATAGAATAGAATAGAATAGAAAGAACAGCTATAATAAGACTCAAATAATAATAATAATAATAATAATAATAATAATAATTTATTTATACCCCGCTACCATCTCCCCAAGGGACCCGGTGCGGCTTACATAAGGCCGAGCCCAAAGTACATCAACAGTAAAAGCAATAAGAAAACAATCAGTACAACATAGAATCAAAGAGTTGGAAGAGACCTCATGGGCCATCCAGTCCAACCCCCTGCCAAGAAGCAGGAATATTGCTTTCAAATCACCCCTGACAGATGGCCATCCAGCCTCTGTTTAAAAGCTTCCAAAGAAGGAGCCTCCACCACACTCCGGGGCAGAGAGTTCCACTGCTGAACGGCTTTCACAGTCAGGAAGTTCTTCCTCGTGTTCAGATGGAATCTCCTCTCTTGTAGTTTGAAGCCATTGTTCCGCGTCCTAGTCTCCAGGGAAGCAGAAAACAAGCTTGCTCCCTCCTCCCTGTGGCTTCCTCTCACATATTTATACATGGCTATCATATCTCCTCTCAGCCTTCTCTGCTTCAGGCTAAACATGCCCAGCTCCTTAAGCTGCTCCTCATAGGGCTTGTTCTCCACATGTCAGATGTTATATGTCTTCAATTCCAGAAGCAGGGAGGGAGGGAAAGCAGAATGCTCTCTCTCTCCTGCCTCACAAAGAAGGGTGTGGTCCTTGGAAAACTATAACTCCCAGGACTGCATAAGATGGAGCTATGGTATTTAAACTAAGTTTCACCTGCATTCATTCCACAGTGTACATGCACCAAGAGAAGGGTATGGACCTTAGGAAACTATGGAGACATGGCGTAATAATAATAATAATAATAATAATAATAATAATAATAATAATAATAGCATTTAAAATGGGCGCCAACTGCATTTTTTCTCTAGTGTAGATGCACCCAGAAGGGAATGGACCTTGGGAAACTGCAACTCCCAAGAGGACTGGCATAATAATAATAATAATAATAATAATAATAATAATAATGAGAAGCAACTGGAAAAGCTATCACGATACAAGGATTTAAAGATCGAACTGCAAAGACTCTGGTACAAGTTAGTCAAGGTGGTCCTACCGGTGATCGGCACACTGGGTGCAGTGCCTAAAAACATTGGCCTGCACTTAAACACAATCGGCGCTGACAAAATTACCATCTGCCAGCTGCAGAAGGCCACCTTACTGGGATTTGCATGCATTATTCGCCGATACATCACACAGTCTAGACACTTGGGAAGTGTCCGACGTGTGATCCAATACAACAGCCAGCAGAGTGTCTGCTGTGGACTCATCTTGTGGTGTTTCAAATAATAATAATTTATTTTTAATCGTGTCAGGAGCGAGCTGGTGTGAGAGAATTGGCCGTCTGCAAGGACGTTGCCCAGGGGACGCCCGGATGATTTGATGTTTTTATCATCCTTATGGGAGGCTTCTCTCATGTCCCCGCATGAGGAGCTGGAGCTGATATAGGGAGCTCATCCGCCTCTCCCCGGATTCGAACCTGCGACCTGTCGGTCTTCAGTCCTGCCGGCACAGGGGTTTAACCCACTGCGCCACCGGGGGCTCCAATAATAATAATAATAATAATAATAATAATAATAATAATAATGGTATTTAAAATGGGTCTTAATTGCATTTATTCTCCAATGTAGACGCAGTGTGGTGGGGTGCAAGGGCATTCATTTTATACTGTAAATGCACCAAGAGAAGAGTATGGACCTTGGAAATCTATGACTCCTAGGACTGCACAGCATGGAGACATGGCATAACAACAACAACAACAACAACAACAATCCTTCTCTCCTGACTTTCCCATGCAACACAAAGCACAGACATATCAAGAAAGGAAGGGAAGGACCCAGAAAGGCTATTATTTAAAAAAAGAAATTGTTCTGGCAAAGTCAAAACTCGGTGAGCAAAAGGTAATGCTTTCCCTAACTTTTGGTTCCCCACACAATTTCCCTTCCCACAATCTGTGGAAACATTTCATTTTAAACCTGGGAGCAACAAATGCCATCACATTACAGAAACGGCCAATCATCCAGATCATTTCAAAAAAATCCACTTCCCTACCAGCTATGGAAACATTTGAAAAAAAATGCTGGTACCCACACTTAAAATACACAAAGAATGCTCTTTCCTACACTTGAAGCCAAACGAATGTGATAAGGAAAGTGGCTTCCCGGACTTTAAGTGTAGCTCTTAGTGGAATTTAGTAAATGTGATGAAGTGGTAGGATAAAAGCTATCCTTCAGTCTGTCTGTCCTTGCCTTTGTCACC